AAAGAGAGAGAGAGAGAGAGAGAGAGAGAGAGAGAGAGAGAGAGAGAGAGAGAGACTTCATACGAACCAGGAGGGAGACAAGAAGAACAATAAAAGATGTCACCGTTATCCCAAAACTACATGTACATCACAGACACAGACAGAGACCCTAACGAACCAGGGACAAGTTGTCATGGGCTTTGTTTTGGGTTTTTTTTTGGTTTTTTGGGGGGAGGGCAGGGGGGGGGGTTACAAATTATTAAACCTACTATTATTTACGACAAACTCACTGGCCTCTGCGGTGAAGCGGTTGGTGCTTCGCTGTCGCATGCAGGAGACTCGAGTTTGGCTCCAGATTGAGGAGAATTTTCATTGATTACATTTCATGTACCTTGGTCTTTTTACTTGGAAGTTGTATCCGCCTCTAAATGATCTATATTGTGTCAATGGGAGCGTAAAATCACCTATATTATTATTCAAAATTCAGAAGTACGCGCCTTAGCACCAAGTGGTAATTTTACAAGTTTAAAAAAAAATAAACCAAAACTGTTCACAGTTTCTCTTGGGGCTCTCGTGGCCTCGAGGTTAACTCCTAAGACATTTTTAGCCATTTTAAGAAAATGAGCTCTTTTTTTTTTCGAGCAACTGACTCTGTGAAACTCTTGAATTTTGGTACATGCAATTGAGTTTATATCTGGATTATTATTTTGTCCAAGTAAGCTATATTATCTTCATTTCAGAATCAAAAGCCAAAACCGGCCAAAAATGACTTATAAGCAATTATCTATAAGCATGTCAATAAAATGTTATGCACGAAAACCATTTCTTTTTAGGCTCTTTCAGAGCGAAACCGCAACAACAAATAACAATTCTATCGAAGAGACCAAAACAGTTTGGGGTCATTCAGTGGAAGGGTAATGACTCTAAAGAGTACACTTATGACTCGGTGTGGAAAGAAAATTATTTATATATGCAAAAGAGTTTAACAGTGGTAAACTTTACCTCCGCCGCACACGCCGAAATGAGCAAGTAAAACGCACTATGTCCATACATTATAATATGAGCCCATGATTACTTGTAGAATCAGGTTCTTCTTTTTCTTCATGCGTTAGGTCTGGAGCAGACATAGACGATCATGATACCCAGTTCCTTCCTGTTGTCTGTCTTCTTGATCAGCTCCGTTTTTCTCTTTGTGTTATTCAATGCAAAGTTATTCAGGCCATCATTCTGCACTATGTTGTTCTTTGTCTTTATCTGCTCTTTTCTTCCTCTATTCTTTCCACACTGCAGAGTAGTTTCTCTTGTCCATTTGATATATTTCCATGGCCAAAGAATCTCAATTGTTTCCTTTTTTTCTGTCAAGGTTAGTTACCCTTAAAAAGCAAGTAGCTGCTGTCAAAATCGTTTATTTAGTAATGACACAAACCCAAGGTGCGTTTAATTAATTAGAGTTTTATTATTCTTGGCAACAGAGTGGGGATATTTCTTTTCTTTTTCTTTTTCTTTTCTTTTTTTTTTTTTTTTG